CAAACTGACCCACAAAATTTCCATCTGGAGAGAACTTCTGAATGCGATGATTATCCCTATCAGCAACATACACTAATCCTTGGCGGTCAAAAGCAATGTCATGTGGAGACTTAAACTGTCCATTAGCTGATCCTTTACTTCCAAATGAATGAGAGAAGGTTAGATCAGAATTCAAAACTTGTATACGATGATTACCACTATCAGCAATATAAACCTGTCCTGTTATAGGAGAAATTGTTATACCACAGGGAGTATTAAATTGTAGTGGTTTACTGCCCTTCTCACCAACTGATGCTTTACAGTATCCATCCATGCTTATTTTCTGGATCCTGTGATTATCAGATACAAGAATGAACTTGCCTGGAGTAATAGCTACACCACGAGGAGAAGAAAACTGGACATGACCACTTCCTCCTTTCCCTCCTAACTTCTTTCCTTCTCCATCTAGTATTGTGGCACAGTTACTACTAACCTCAGTTATTATAGTAAGATTATCAAAGCTTATAGCAACTCCACAAGGACCATCAAATTCCCTGATAGTATCTAAAGGAGTGATTTTATCAAGGTAAGGATTAATAGGGATGACTAGTGAGGCACTCTTAAGTTGTACACCACATACTTGCACTTTTACTGTATGAATACCACTGGTTGAAGGGTTACACTGTATCCTATACACTCCAGGATCAGTGCTGATGGTAGTGACTGTAGTGTGAATGGGTTGATTGCCTTTACCAACTGGTACTAGACTACACCTCAGAGAAGAGAGGGGAACACACAGAAGCGATGAATCTTGTGCCTCCATTGATAGTGAAAAGGACACCTTCTTTGGTAAACGCTCAACGCAACCAACTTTCTTCACTCTACACTGCTGTAGTTCAGTAGAGGTCAAAATATCTCCAATGTGATGTAGTGATTTGGTATTTTTACTCACTCCAAAGTCGGCTTTTTCCTTTGGACGTAACTCTTCCACGTTGATCCCTGCAGTAACTTCATTCATAAGCTTTGTCATTTGTTTGGACCTCAGAACTTGTTGAGGACTGCCTGTCTTCAGACTCTCTTTCACATAATCCTCAACATCCTCCAGAAGACTCAAACTCATTTCTGCTGATTTCATTTGCTCTGACAGCACCTTTAGTTTATCATCAGTGACCCTCTGTGCTTGCTCAGTCAGTTTTCTCTCTGACTGATGAAGAACATTCATCATTTCCTCTACCATTTCATGTATTTCCTTTAAGACTCCTTCTCCTCTCTCTCTAATCTCACCCTCTCTTTCTGCTAGAGCAGACAGGACCTTCCTGAGTGCTTCCTTCTTTCCCTCAACTGGTGACAGACATTCTCTTAACTTTTGACAGTGTTTAGAATAACTGTCGGCGATTAAATTGTATTCGTGATGTTTGTGATTATGAGCTAAGCAGTTTACACAGATTACTGTATCACATGTTTCACAGAATAGCTCCAAAGGCTTTCCATGATCACTACATGTGGCCTCTTGAGGATTCGGCAAAACTGTTGTCTTCTTCATTAGATCATACAAGATCTCTTTGAGGTTGTTGAGAGTGAATGCAACAGGAAAGGCTCCTGTTCCTTCTTCTGGTAACTCAGTACAATGACGACAAGTGGGACAAGAGAGGTAATAGGTCTCATTCTTCTTATCCAGAGGTAATCCCTCCAAACAGTGCTCACAGAATGAATGTAGACAAGGTAAAGTCTTAGGGTTGGTATAGTGGTCAAGACACACAGGACAAGTGAGCTGTTCCTCCAGTTTGAGGAGACCATGGGGAGGAGATGAAGATGGTTTTGTTGACATTTTAGGAAGTGAATAAAATTGTGTATGTAAAGCAAGAACGAAAAATGAGGAGATATAAAGGTAGAGGTTGGTAAATGAAGATTGAGCAAGAATGAATGATAAGAAAATGAAGAAGTTGGAATGAGCAAGAGCAAAATAGAGCAGAAGAATGAGAAAAGTAGCCCTGAGAACCTCTTAGGATAGTAGTGAATCTAAAGGAAGTTATGATAGTAAATACAATATTGCATTTTTAGTGATGCTTTCTTACTCTTAGAAAGTTAGAATGTGACATTAATACAAAATTCTAAAAATGACTGCATATATCCCTTGTAGAGAAATCATGTCAATTAAACAAGTAGGATTATTGAACTATAAATTACTATGGTGAGTATACAATCAAATGGATGTTAACTAATAATGTTTATTAATAAATTTATGTGTGCGTAATCAATCCTAAAAAGGAGAAGATATGATGCAATAGATAGTTTTTACTGCAAATGTTTGTGGATTAGTTCGATAAGTAGGGCTGGTGCTTAGCATATAGCTAAACAAGACTTGGTTTGAATGGTTTCCTTTGGTGCTGTTTGAATGGTTTCATTTGTTGCCATAGTTACAACTGTACAATGATAGATGGATGCCTCTTTTCCTGTATCAACAGTTTCTGTATAGCCTCTCCACGTACTTTTTCTTGTCAATGGATTTCTCATGCAATTTTGTATTGTGCTTATTCTATGGCTTACTACTTTAATTTTTACTTTTACTTTTTTACTCCTTTACTTTTTGGCACATGGCCACAATTTTGCCAACCCAGTCACACTACACTTACTACCAGCACTGATCCTGGAGTGTATATGGATACAGTGTAAGCCTTCAACCAGTGGTACTCATACAGTAAAAGTACAAGTACATGTATATGATGTACACCTTGAGGATAGTAGGATACCTCACTATAGTCATCCCTATGAATCCTTACCTTGATAACATCACTTCAGTATGTACTATAACTTAGCTTTACTATCCCTGTGGAGTTGCTGTAACTGATGATAATCATGTTATAATAACTGAGTGGGATGGTCACTATGTAACAATACTGGATAGAAAAGGAAAGAATTAAAGTTAAATCATTAGGATGGGAAGGAGGAAGTGGTAATATCAAGTTTTTTTGTCTTTATGGTGTAGCCATTACTCCAGACAAATTCATTCTTGTATCTGATAGGCACAGGATCCAGAAGATATGCATGTGAGGATATCTTATAGCATCATTTGGTGAAAAAGGCAGTGGACCACTACAATTCAATTGTCCTCATGGTATAACCATTTCTCCTATAACAGGACAGGTTTATATTGCTGATAGTGATCTAACCTTCTCACATTCATTTGGTAGTGAAGGATCAGTTAATGGATAGTTTTGGTTACCACGTGGCATTGCTATTGACAGTAAAGGATTAGTATATGTTGCTGATCAGTATAATCATCAAATTCAGAAATTCGCTCCAGATAGAAAGTTTGTGAGTCAGTTTTGGCAATAAAAGATTTGGTTCTGGACACTTTAATGGTCCATTAGGTATAACAATAGATACTGCAGCTACTGGTCTAGTGTACATGTATGCTAGTGAGGATCTTAATTATTGCATATCAGTCGTCACTAGCGATGATGCTTTTGTTAGAAAGTTTGAAAATAAAGGCAGTAATATTGATCAGTTTAACGGCCCTATTGGATTAACATTTGACAAAGATGGAGTCTTGTATGTTTGTGATTTGTTGGTTTATTGAAATCATAATTATTTTTGTTTACATGTACTTTTGAGTGCTGTTAGCCACCATTTTGTTTGCTGTGGACCTGTGGTCATACCCACTTTATGCAAGAGATGTAGACGGGTTGTTTACTAATAATCTTAAGAATACTTGGCATGTGGGTGAAAAAACATGTGTACAGCTACTGCATGCCCATAGCTATTACATTATATTTTTCACTCTTTATTGGTAGATTGATTCATAGTATACATGCACATTCCATGAAATGATGTTTCTACTAAGTAAAGCTTTTCCCTCTTTGTCTAGTACAAGTAGTTACTCTTGTGCGTGTTTGTGTTTACAAATTTGCTGCTTCTCTTCTCAGCATGGAGCCTCGTTTGTTACATCATTTTAAAATTATTATTGATAGGGAGTTCATTGTAGTTTGGATGGTGTGTCATCAGAGACTGAAACTGCAAACAATAAATTTGAAGAGTTGGCTTTTGAGAAAATTTGTACATGTCAAGTGAAGAGCAAGTAAGAGAGAGAGAGACAGAGACATAGAGAGAGGAATTGAGCATGCATTTGTGTGTGTTACTGAGTAAAAAGAGAAAATTTTTAAAGATGAAAATTTTGAAAAATTTTTTGATGTCATGGTGACCATTACACCATCCAACTATCAATAGATAATACTAATATCAATAATGTCATCAAAGATCTTGTACTTTCCATAATCTCATTAAAAACTTTATTACTTCTGGTAAGTATATTTATTGTTGTTAATTAATAAATATTGATTAGGTGAGCAGAGTTTTGGTGTGTGTGTGTGTGTGTGATTCTACGTGATATTGGTATCCTAATTCCTGAACTGATAATTGTTCATATTGAGGGGATGGGCTTGTTGAAACTGGATAAGTTTAATGATTTGATTAATGATCGCTTTGGCAACGATGAAAAGGTAACATATGTACTTGTATTTGTACTTTTCATAGCCTAAAAATTATTATTAATAATATTGACTTTATTTTATTAAAATTATAAAGCTAACTGCAGCTACTTGTCTAGTGTATGTTAGTGAGCATAGCAATAGTCCTATATCAGTCTTCACTAGTGATGGTGTGTTTGTTAAGAAGTTTGGAAGTAAAGGCAGTAATATTGATCAGTTTAATGATCCTTATGAATTAGCATTTGATAAACATGGATTCTTGTATGTTTGTGATAATTAAGGATAATGATTGTCTTGTTGTTTATTAGTTATTAATTACTATTTCTTTTATATTGTTAATAATCATTATTATAGTTATTATACTGATACAGTCACTGGTATGTGTACTGGAATTACATTCAGCATAACTTCAGTAGCACCGCAATATCCTAATAACTAGGAGAAGAAATTATTCCTTCTTGTATTACAATATCTGTGCTTACTTTATGATATGTGTATAATCATTAGCACATAATGTATTAATTCACTTTTAATTGTGTCATAGTTCTGCCTATGGTGGTCAGCGGTGATTGGGACAACCACTTCAACAAATGAGCAACCAGTTCATCACTTTGACGGTTAGACCGACCATGCAATTTATATTAATATATTTAATAACCATACATTAAGCATAATATTATAGTCTAATGGACAGGCATGGTGTACATAAATTTAGAGGGAACAATATCAGTCTCCAACTACCTCTGATTTTTTTCTAGTCTGAACCCTGTTGTGCCTCTACTAATCTTATTTAACTTAGAAAGAAATTTTTATGACGCTAAATTAAAGTGATGCATTATTCATAAGGCCACAATTTTTCAATTAAGAGAGCCATGCAAACTTCCAACACATCAAACACTAAATTACTAAATCCTCTCCTTTTCTTCTGTATATGTACAGAGATCACCAGCAGTGTTACAGCTCAATGATAATTAGGAGTCCCAGTCCAGAGGCATTAGTACATACTACTAGATATGCTAGACCTTCATCTCAGAGCAGCTACATATCAGAGGATCTACAAACTATAGCATCAGTAGAAGTAAGAGTATTAATATGATGTATTACAATTATTGTGCTTCGCAATAGGAAACCAAGGGCAAGGGAAGCTATAGCAAGTTTCATTGTGTGTGTATGGGATGCCTGCTTGAGGTGAAGCTGAGGGCAGATATCAAGGGACCCAGGTATTACATTACTGATACTCACCTCCAAACACACTGGTCACTACATATACTGTACATTATATCAATATTGTACATGTATGTTATTTTTAGTAACTACATGGTATAAGTATATGATATACCACACCGGTGAGGTGTATATGGCTTATATACGCCCCGAGCCCGAGGGCGGAGCCCGAGGGCGAGGGTCGTATATAGCCATATACACCGAACCGGTGTGGTATATTAAATTTATTACCTGAAGAAGCCACACCTCGAATTTATATGGAACACGTGTCTAAAAATCTATTGAGCATGCTCAGTAGTGGTCACGTGTAGAAAAATGGCAGAGAAAGAAAACATCGATCCATTGTTTGATCCTAACCCATCCAAGAAGCGCAAGGTTTCTCTGTCTCTGAAAGGCAAAAGAAAGGAGAAAAGGTTTGGTAGTGTGTCCGAGGAGGCTTTAAGTTCTATGGCGAAGACACAAATGACAAAAAATACCGAAAAGTCTAGCAAATGGGCAATGGCAAATTTTGTAGAGTGGTTTCACGAGTACAACAAAAGGAACGAGGATGCTACCTGCCCAGAAGAGGTAATTACTCCCAGCTGTTCTAAGGACTTACTCAATAAATGGCTGTGTGTGTATATAAGCGAAACTCGAAATAAGTCCGGTGAGCTATATCCACCTAGTACAATCCAGTCACTTCTCTCTGGAATACTCCGTTATATGAGGCAAGAAAACCCAAGTTATCCTAACTTCTTCAGCAAAGATGATCCTGCATTTTCTACATTTCAAGCTACACTTAATAATGTCTTTAAGAGCCTCCGCAGTGGTGGCATTGGTGCTGAAGCATCTCACACTGAAACTATTACTTCTGAAGAGGAAGACACACTTTGGGAAACAGGTGTTTTAAATATCGACTCTCCTAAAGGTTTACTTCGTTGTGTATTTTATTATAATGGGAAGTGCTTTTGTCTTCGTGGGGGGCAAGAACACAGGGAGTTAGGAGTAAGCCAATTGAAGCGTTTGTATAATCCCGATTGTTATATTTACTCGGAGAGATCGTCAAAGAATCGACCTGGGGGAACAGCTCAAATTAGGCTTGAACATAAAACTGTTCCAATTGTTGCTAATCATGCTGCAGGGATTTGTTGCCATGTCTTTTTATTGGATATGTACCTTAAGAAACTCCCCCCTATTGCCATAGAGAAAGATTATTTTTACTGCAAGCCATCACCAGTTGCTTCAGAGGATAAGCCCCAGGGCCATAGCCAGGAACTTAAAATAGGGGGTTCGAAAATTGCTGCGCGCGAAGCGCGCAGCGAAAATTTTGACAAAATGGGGCGTGGTTGGTAGGCGTGGTCGAGATTTACGCATCTCAGCCATGTGCTGACTCAGCTAAAATGGCTATCTGTGCTTCTCGCTGTTGCCAAAATGCTAATCCTGCTTTTGCAGTGCTGTTCTTCATGACAGGAGCTAATCTAAAACTTTTTTGCAGCTACAACAGGGGGTTCGTCCGAACCCCCCGAACCCCCCCTGGCTACGGGCCTGAGCCCTGGTATTATCCTGTTCCAGTTGGAAAAAACACATTAGGAAACATGGTAAAGGACATGGCTACAGAGGCAGGATTATCTGGAAAGAAAACAAATCACTCGTTACGAGTTGCAGGAGCTACGTCATTATACAGAGCTGGAGTACCTGAACGAATAATACAGGAAAGGACAGGACACCGTAGTTTACAGTCATTGAGGCAGTATGAGCGTACATCGGTTGATCAGGAAATGGCTGTATCTCGTATACTAAGTGGAGAAGCTGACAGGTACAATCCAAAGCCAGAACCTATATCAACATGTGCTGTGACCGAAGCTACATGTAGTACTTCTATTAAGATAGAAGAGAATCCTTCTCCTAAAGCTTCCAAACAACCAATGGTACAGTACAACAATTGTACTGTGAATGTTTTTGGTGGTGGAAAAGCTCAGGCAAGTCCAGCTCCATATCCACAGTATTTGCCTCCACCCTCATCATTGATGGATCAATGGATCAATGAAGGATATCAGGATTTTGCAGACTACACTTATTAGTGCTCTCTCATAATAATCACTTATGACTTACAATACTCTTATATTAATCACTTGTGTTATATTACTCTTTTGTTATTATTATTAATAATAATTATAGTGTTAACCACAACCAGGGAGTATATGAAACTTCAAAGGGTAATATATCAAACCTAGGGAGTATATGCAATATATACACCCACATTTTTCTTTGATGTGTGGCTTCTTCAGGATATAAGTATATTTATCTGTGTCTTGTTAATTTTGCAAGCATGTGTGTGTTCATGTATGCAGGAGCTATCACTGGTTAATGATGATACTATCATACAAGAAGAAGATAACAGTTCGCTATATCTAATCAAGTACTAATGAAACTTAATTTTAGCAGTAAAAAGAGGGAAAGAGAGAAGAGAAGGAGGTATAGAGAGTGTCGTATTGCAATGATGACACAAAAGCCAAAGACAACTGAAGGAACATGTTTGACCAGTTTTTAATTATTGATCATAAGTACATGTAGTTTATGTCAAATATTTTCAATCATGTGTCATTGTGCATGTGAAGAATAAGGCAGAATTTTGTCAAAAAATGGCTAAAAATGACCCTCAAAATTTATTACATTTTCTGATACTTATTGATATCCTGATGCTGTGTAGAAAGTTTGAGCTGATTCCAATACTAAATTTTCAAGTTTTGACTATTTTAAAAACGGGCATTTTTGAAAATACCCAAGGTTATAGCCCATGGTTTTTCTAAATAATGGCTTAAATGACACCCGATTTTCATTACATTTTCTGACACTTATTGATGTCCCTATACTGTGTATATAGTTGAAGTCTGCAACTCAAATTTGTTGAAGTACAATTATTTTATACCAGCAGTCATTAAATCAATATCTTTGTTATACATGTATCCTGTAGTAGCAGCTGCTGGTTATGGTAGTCCGTCAATTTACCTCATACATACCAATTAGTGATTATGAATATCATTAAGCATATTCTCTATTACTAAATAATATTGTATGGTTTCTTACCAAACGAGAGAGAGGGATAATAGTACTAATTATAGCTCTTATGTTAAGAACCAAACTAATTGCAAAAACTGTCCATTTCTTGATATGATGCATATTTTATGTGTATGTACATATACATGTACATGTAGATTATATAGAGTACATACAGTATAAACATGTACATGTACATGCATGCACTTGTTTTATGCATTTAGTTGTACATGTGTACATGTATGTTTGTGTGTTTATATTAATACATTATGTGCGACTTGTTTCCTAATAAGTAAGTTAAGTTATGAGTAAAACAGTAATACTATTGTATACTAGGCCTGAGCGATAGTAAGTAATATCACTGTCACAATATTTACTAACTCTACTATCACAATAGTGAACGTATCATGATAGTTTAGCCACAGTGTTTACATGTGGAAATACAATGATTTAATAGAATGCAGTCATTCTACTTATCAATCCATGTAATATTAATCTGTAAAAGTACATTTAACCCAATTTTTAACAAGAAACACTCCCACTGCATGTACTGAAAACATGTTCACATGATACTGGTTTAGTAGGGACAGTGAAGTAAGGCTATGCTAGTATATAAGGGGTACCTTCCTTTAATTACTCACTGCGACTCTAGTTTAGGAATATTATCATGATATAATAATATTGTCATGATAGTTAAAATAGCAGCATCATAATCATGATAGCCTAGGCCTCTTGGAGTACACACATCTTTTACACCCTTGGCCCTTCCTCCTTAACCCTGGTTTCCATATACCATATAACACATATATTTTGTGGATAATGAATTTTGCAAATTTCGCTGATTGGCAAAATTTTCCAATACCTTAATCTGTGAAAATTTACTATTAATTAAATAGGTGGTGTCTTGTGCACGAGAAGCCGTGCCTTTAATTTAGAACAGCACATGCATTAAGAAGAAATTCTACTGCTAGCTTGTTTTGTCTACTGCTGGCTTGTTTAGGTATTTGAAGAAGATTGATCCTGCTCCTACTAGTCAGACCACTTCACCTCTACCTGATCCTTAGGCGAATCTTTCATCAAAATTACCTTTGCACTGACTGTAGCGCACCATGCCCACTATGATTACATTAATTGTTATTATTTAAAACCTGATGATGTCGCAAAATTTTTTATCTGCAAATGGTTAGAAGGAACAATTTCGCGAAATTTTATATCCATGAAATATAAGTGCTATAGGGTACTTGTTCACGTACATTTTTGTGGGTATTGTATGGATTCTGTGGTTAGCAGCCTACAACTGCACTGCTGGCTGCTGCTACTGATTGTTGTAACTTGTATCTGCAGATACAAGTTACTTGCAAATACCTCCCTTTCTCCCCTTCCTTCCTTTGGCACTCCCCTGCCCTGCCTGAGATGTCAATCAAATCTAAGTCATTAATGTTCTTTAAATTCTCTTTATAATTGGATTGCTACATGTATCATTGTGTAGCTGTTCTATGTAGCATGCATCTGTGTTGAACCTGTCTCTGGTAGTCATATTTAGCATGCATTTTATGATGCATTATCATTATCTAAGGAATTATCCAAAATTTGTCCTACCCATAATCTTTATAAATGGAGAATTCTCTCCTTTTCATTTTTGGCGACATTTTCTTTGATAACGTGTACCATAGTACAGGGACTTTGGCTCAATTTTTGAGCCACTTTATTCCCAATGATATAATGAGCATTACCATTTATGAATAATGACATTATATACTGTAGAGTGCATGCTATAAATAATGTCTATTACATTCATAGTAACTCCTAATAAGGAATTGGGTGATAGCCTAAACCTGCCCATTTGCTGATACCAGCTGTATGGCTGAAGGAAGTGAGTTCTCTTTATAAAAGTGTATCTTTTAGCACTGCACTCACTGTAGGTAAGACTGCAAAGGAGGTCTTTAAAAAGACACTACCAAAGCTTATTAACACACTTGGGAAGGAACCCCCTTTTACTATTGTCACTGCTTTTTTATATGCTAAAGGACTGATTGCAGAACAAGAACTTAAAGCCATTAAGACCAAACAAGGTGTTGAAAGAGGTAGTGAAGTGGCTTTTAAGCTCACAGACAAGATAAAGGATAGTGATGATCCTACTGCCTGTCTACTTACGATATGTGAGATATTTGAATCTGATGATGTAGAAAATGATACATTGAAAAAACATGGAGCAAGCATGAGAGAGAGTATATCAAGTAAAACACATTCCATTATGATCCTTCTAAACACTTTATTTTTTAATAGACGGCACAACTGCTACACCTCAAGTTTCTTCATACCCTCCAACTGTGGCACCTAGGACAAACCCTAATAAACTAAGTACAATACTGCTAAATAAAATTCTCTATAATTGCAACTGATAATCTATTTGATATTAAAAAACACATTCATTATAATATCCATGCAACATTTGTGGAATTGTCCCCAATGCAAAGTTTATTCCTATACCTATGCTGTGACGTCATGTGTCAAAACTTGTGCGGGATTTAAATCATATTCACATACCGGTAACCACAAAAATTAATTCCTCACAAAAGTTTTCAGCCATAGAAAAATAATTATTATTACACACAGCAGTCTAATATAAGGTTATAACAAATAATGCTTTGAATTATGTATCACTGGCACTTATTAATCTCATACAATTTAGGTGCTTCAGACCGGTTTAGAAGAGTTTCTGATAGACTTGTAGGCTCCATATCATCTTGTCTGACTACAGTGTCAGGGAAACTTAATGCAAGGAGGCTGATAGCACAGGAGCTACATGATGAAATGATTAATGGTCGTGATATTGATTCAAAAAAAGCTGCCAAGCTAGTACATGCAATGCAGAATACTCTTGATGCCCATGCTAATCCTGAGACATATCTAAATGATGTGTGCTCAGCATTGAAAGATGTTGGAGAGATACCAATCACTAATATAGTGAATGAATTACAATGTAAGTTAACTAATTTCATTTGTTACCAACATTTTGTGATACCATTATATAGAGTGAAACAGATTTATTCTACTCATAATCAACTGCTGCATTGAATAATTTATTAGGTTTTGTGCATGTGCTTTGAATATGACTTTAATACATTGTTTGTGTGATTTTTTTATGCCTGTTTATTTCAAAATTTTTGTGTTTTTAATTGTTCTATTGAAAAGAAAGTGTTTCTGAAACATAACTTTGTATGCAAATGCCATAATAAAAGCCCTATACCCTTAATAAGATATTGCATGAATTATTGATTTATTGTCCATGCGAAGGCATTTGGCTTAATTATACAGAGTATATACCAACGGAGCAAGTCGTTCTTCTTAACAGTAGTAACAGAGCCCCCTAAAGAAAAGGTAGTTATATATACCAGCTGTATTAGTGTATGCTGGTCCCTCCTCTCCCTATTACAAACCACACTGGATAATATTTAGTCTAGCTAGATATTAATCAGCTAATTATATCAGCTCAACCCTCCGCCTACAGTCATTGGGAGGCAGCAAGACTATATAGGTAACATTGATATTGAAATGTGGTCCAAAGAGGCTTGTTTGGCATGTCGTAACTTTATAAAATTGTGTTTCGAAGATTATTATTTCAGTGTCTTTTTTGGTAATTATTATTATATAGTGGAAGGGAATTGTAATTATTAAGTAAGTGGAATGAATTTCTTATTGATTATCAATAAGCAATTTATTCCACTTAATTTGCTTTGCTATTTTACCCATTCCTTTCTCTTCCTTTGCTTTCCATTGCTTTCCCAAAAATTGCTCTAAAATCAGCCCAATTTTATTTCATTTTATAATGTCCTTTGCTACATGTAGAAAGTTTGAGCTGTTTTTGACTGAGTTATGAGCATTTTTTATAATTAGCCAAGTTTCGAGAAAAAGCAAACGGCTATTGTGGTCCATGGTTTTTGCAAAAAATGGCTCAGAAAACACCACTAGCTCAAGCTCCTCTACTGCTAGTATCAGTCGAGAGAGATTGAAGAAGGTATGGTTGATATTAACATAATAACACATGCACTAATCACTGAATTTGTATCATTAATAGGTACATTTAGATCTGATATTTTTATAGAGTAATGACAGAATGTATACTAGGAGAGGCTTGATCTAAATACATTAGTAGATCTAGATAAGTTACATGAGAAGAGGATGATAAGCGAATGAAAGAAAACTAAAGTTCTTGATGAAAGATGTGGACTAATTGCTAATCAAAGAATGGACGAGCTGCTTAGTTTAGTTTACTGAAGCATCCATTAGGGAGGGTGGGGGAGATTTTGGTTTGTTTCTAGAAATAATTAAACAAGAGAATACAAGAAGAGCTGATAGACTAGCACAGACACTATTAGACAATTATAAAGATTAATCCTTTAGGTCTTACCTCAACTAAATCCAATAGATGAACAATCCGACAATGAGATCCAACTCATCCACTGAATGTACTCCAACCTAGAGGCACACTACATACGTAGTGTGCCTTAACG